AGGCTGCTTAATTTTAAAATGGCTTATGATGAGAATTTTTAGGCTGATTAGTTTTAAAACTACAGATGAGATTCAGGCGCCAAGGAGTGAAATTTGTTTGCCCCTTTGTTGGGAAACATTTACATTTCTAAGGGAAACCTCTATCTGTGAAGATGCCTCCCTCTCTGTGCCAGGAAGAAGGGGGGATGGTCTTATCTCTAGAAGCTCTTAATCAATGCCAGAGGCAAGAACTTAAGTTGGTTACTGTCTGGCAACCTCATGTAACTGACCCCCACCCCCCCCCTCCACGAATCCTCCTTTGTCTTTAGCCGAGGATAAAATTCGAGCGGTGACTTCTGCCATTTACTCAATCTGGTTTGATTCTTATCTAAAAGTTGTGGGACCCCCAAATGGCCAGACCAAACGGGCACTGATACCATTTTAACTTTTTTACATATTCTTTGTCTTGTAAAGAGATAACTCATATACCTATGCCTTAAAATTAGCCCTGACCCTCAACTTGGGGCAGCAGCAGGAGCTCTGACTGCCCGTGGGTCCTGTCCCCATGCACCAGCTCTGCCTGCCCATGGGCCCTGTCCCCATGCCAGTGGGGGCAGCAGAAGCAGCGGCAGCAGCAGCAGCAGCAGGAGCTCTGACTGCCTGTGGGTCCTGTCCCCACGCACCAGCTCTGCCTGCCCATGGGTCCTGTCCCCATGCCAGCGGGGGCAGCACCAGCGGCTTTGCCTGCCCATGGGCTCTGTCCCCATGCCAGCGGGAGCAGCAGAAGCAGCGGCAGCAGAAGCTCTGACTGCCCATGGGTCCTGTCCCCATGCTATTCTATACTATTCTCTAAATAAAAGAGCACTACTGCCAGATCTTAAGAGTCTAAAGAAATCTTTCTTTCGACTCCTCGGCTCACCGACCCCGCATCATATGGACTTAATAAACTCTCCAGACTTTTAGGCCCAAGGGTGTAATTGATTTTTCCTCAATATTGGTGCCTTTTTATCCTATGTGGTGGTGACTGAGAGTCAAAGGAATATTTGGTAGCATAAAAAACGAACTGAAAAATAATTGTATTTTTAAGAAACGCAGTTTTTAAAATATTCCTTGCACCTCCTGTCCAGTGCTTTTAACAATCACACTGGGAGAGAACTCCTCCACTATTAAATGCAAACTCTCTTTTTGCCACTTGCATTGATAAAGGTTTTAATGGTCATTGTTTTATTTTCTTCCTTTGCCTAGTTTGAACTGAAGTGTGGAGGGTATAAGTCTCAGCCCACAAGTTTACCAAATAGTTTTATTTTGTTATAACTAAACTTCATTTCAACTCACTAGATGGTAGGTGTGGTAGGCTGAATAACGGCCCCTCAAATATGTCCACATCCTACCCCCTAGAATCTGTGAATATGTTGCCTAATATGGCAAAAAGGGACTTTGCCGATGTGATTAAATTAAGGATCTTGAAATAAAGAGATAGTCCTGGATTTTCTGGATGGGCTCAGTGTAATCACAAGTGTCCTTGTAAGAGAGAAGGCAATGTGAAGATGGAAGCGGAGAGAGAAGATGCTACGTAACTTTGATGATAGAGAAAATAACTTCCAGCCAAGGAGCATAGGTGGTCTCTAGAAGGTGGAAAAGGCAAGAAAGTAGATTCTCCTCTAGAGCCTCTGAAAGAACACAGCTCTGAAGACCCATTTTCGACTTTTGACTTCTGGAATTGCAAGATAATACATTTGCATTGTTT